GTCTCATGCTGTCTTAAAATCTTTCTGATTTGTTAGTCACAAGGGTTTCATGGATCAGAGCCCACTGCCCAGGTCACCTAGAAACTTTAACTGAGCAAGAACACAGCAGCACACATAGGCCCCAAACTTTTTTCTTGTTACGTTATTGCTTTGTGAGTTTCTTTCTGGAGGCAATTCAAGATGCTGATTGTCACTTTTAAAGTCCTAGATGGCATGAACCAGGTTATTTGAGGGATTAAAGTATATACTGTACAATCCAGTGGGATTGTATACATGGGTTCATTCTGGGTTTACTCTATTATGTCTTCTGGTGAGACCTCATAAGTAAACCTTTTCTTGCCTGAAATATGATGGAGAGCCTATATGTCTCTTCTTCCCATAAGGCCTTGAAGACCTAGCTTTTCTCTAGAAATTGGGTCAGAGAGGCCAAGCCAAGCCCCACCTTTTTTTGAGAGGAAACTAGGTTTGTGATACAGTTTTAATTTTGGGGGCTACATCCCCCCCAAAAAAACCCACACACCCTGTAACATGTACAAGAGCCATGGTGGCACAGTGGTTAGAATGCAGTACTGTAGGCTAACTCACTGTTCACTCCAGGAGTTCAATTCTGAGCGGTTCAAGGTTGAGTCAGCCTTCCATCCTTTCGAGATCAGTAAAATGAGGATCAAAATTGTGGGGCAATATGCTAACTCTGTAAGCCACTTAGAGAAGGCTGTAAAACACCATGAAGTAGTATATAAGTCTAAGTGCTATTGCTATTGCTACAGAGTTTCGCTAGAGGAATTATTCATAGACAGCTAGGTTAAAAGAAGGAAGTGTTAATATTATTTATAAGCAAACAAAAAGTATCTCTAAGCTGTTCTACTTTTGTAATTAGTGTATTACTCCAAAAGACAACCACTTATGCAATCACCCACAGATAAAATCAGCTGCTTTTCAAATATGACTTCTATCTTTCTTGCATTGCATCTCCAGCTTCTAAATATGCAAGTCACACATTTCACAATCTTTTACTAGATAAAACCTTTTTACAGCAATGGCTGAAAGGAAAGAATTTGTCAAATGTTGTTAAACATGTCTAGTTAGTCAGTAATGGAGTCCTATGCAACAACAGAACAGTGATCTTTGTTCACTCAACCTTGGCTTCTCTCTTAATATATCATGTTCATGATTAAGCTCCTGATATTTCTAATTAAAATAGTAGCCTCTTGGAGGTATTGTGTATGCGCTTGTGTATAATGCTTGTCCACGCATTGATTCTGAATCACTCCTTCTGATTCTTAAGTAGGATTACAATCATAACCAATGAGTGGGAGTGTTCTGTTAAATGACAAAGGATCCTGAAGTCCATGAGTACTTTTCCACTAATTAGATTTCAGAACTCTAATCATTCATGATTTTAGGTAAAGAAAACTAAATAAGAAAAACTGGAAGAAGAGAGAGGTGAACTATGATTGCTACTATAATTATAGCAAATGTCAAGTCCCAGGCCAAGCACACAGAGATATACTGAGAGGCAGTTGCAAAATTAACTGATAAGTTTTGGGAAGTAAAGCAAAGGAAATGTGAGCACAAATGCATGTGTGTGCATGCACACACCCCTCCACACACACACAGTAGACAAACAAGTCCCCTAAAGTTCAGCAGGCTTGCAATAAGAATTCCAATTCAGAACAGGAGACACAACAGTGGAATTCCAAAAGTCCAAACATTGCAAAAGGGTAATCAGCTGGCAGATCTAGAGTAAAAGTTATGAGGTTTCAAAACAGGAATGAAGGTGCATTGATTGGATGAATGAAACCAGTCATCCACAGAGAGGTTTGAAGTTGCTGTTTCTCGATAGGCAATTATTAATTCTTTCTTAAATAGAAGAGGAGCCCTGCAGAGTGACTCTGTTCTGCTCTGCTCTTCATAGGGTGAGTCCTGAAGATGAGGATAGTTCAGACTCCTCATCTTCAGGGACTCGTGGCAGCTGTGTCTGCTGCTTACCAGATAGCCCGACCTCATCTGTGTGCAACTCCCCAGGCCATGGTTTCTTCAGCAGCAACTAGAGGACCTGTCTCCTCAGTGTCCCTTGTGAGTCTGAGCTTGCCATGACAGCAAGATAGGAAATAAAAGGCAATTACACTAAGGGTAAGGGATTCCAAAGATAATTTTAGGTAAATGGTGCAAGTTGCTTCTAGATTTAGATTTTTCATGCAAGCATTACTCAATTCATGTCTGAATACTACATTATTCATAAATGTACCCATTATAGCTGTTTGATTTTCAGAGAACACCCCAGTTCAGAAATGATAGTGAAGAAAATTGTATGATAAAAGAAAAGCACAGCAGTCTCCTCCTGTCTTTTTTTGATGAAGACTTTTGGATAATCATCATAATAAAGCAACTTGTTGAGGCTACAACATAAGCCAGAAATTAGTAGTGGGGCTTTTTAGAAGGGGAGGAGGAGGAGGAGAGAGAGATGTTATCATTTTGCTGAACAAACAAGAAGACGGGACATTGACCACAACCCATGATGAATGGACCATAGGATTCCATAGATTGGTCAGCCAACCTGCTAGACAATTCAGCTCTTAGCTGCTCATGTGATTTTTATTGTGCCAGGTGCTCATATAGGTGGACTGAAACCCTGAGGTCTTAGCCCCTGATCTTCCAGTTCTAAATTCCAAGTGAATTCAAGGCTTGCTAAACCTAGAAAAGGGAATCAAAATTTTCAATTGGCTCTCAAGTGGCTATACTATTTTTTTTTAAGCTGAGACAGATACATCAACTTTTGTACCATATCTGCTATATTTCTCTCAGTGAACATGGGCATGCCTTTTCATCCATATGAGATAATGGAAACAAATCTTGAAAACTACAGAAAACTTTCAAATTGTAGGAGCAGTTCAATAATGGATGAAGAGAAGTGATATGCTCCCTGTGTTGATATAGTCAAGCAAATCTTGACAGTCATGTTCTGGAATACTCTTGCCTTATGCCTTAGGTTTTGTAAAGCTATGACAATGTTCAGATTTCAATATCAGCGATACAATACTATTTTCTGATTTAAGATTCTCTTGACATTTCCAAGGAGATATTTGAAGTTGAGGTTGAGATTCATCTGAAGGGAAAAATAAGCAGTTGGTACATAAAGTGATACCTATGGCGATGGCGCTCCTTCTAGAGAAGGGAGACAAATGTCTTATCCAGAACAACTGGGAAGTAAAGCCGTAGCCTAAAGAATTGGATGGTCAAGAAGTTGAAGCCTTGGGACAATGGACCTGGCACATGCAAATTTAATTGGATCAAAATCAGTGTTAATGCATTTTCAAAAATCTTCCACAAGTTGAAGTTCAAATGAATTCCACAACGTTCTCTTTAATCAGCAAATAAATATTGACAACAATCTTGGACATTGGCTTACTTATGGCCCAAATGACTAGGTTCGTGATGGCGAATCTATGGCACGCGTGCCACAGGTGGCACGTGGAACCATTTGTCAGGACAAAATCAAAACTTCAGCCTTCTTTTGAGGTTGTTTTTCACCCTCCGGAGGCTTTCCTGAAGTCTCCAAAGAGCAAATAAATCGCCCTATGGACAAACTGGAAGTTCAGGAACAGACTTCCAGTTTGCTCATAGGGCCGGTTTTTGCCCTCCAGACCCTTCAGGGAAGCCTCCTGAAGGCCCCTGAAGGCTCTGGAGGTCGAAAATTGAGCCTATGGGGAACCTGGAAATTCGGGAATGGTGTCTGTAGGGACAATTTTCACCATCTGGAGCCTTCAGGGAAGCCTCCTGAAGGCTCTGGAGGTCACAAATTACCACAACCCACGAACAAATCGGAAGTCACCATTCCCGAACTTCCAAGTTTGGTCAGTTCTTTGCAATCCAGAGGCTTCAGGGAAGGTCCTGAGGCCTATTGAGGGCATCCAGGGTGGCAGGGAGGCTGTTTTCACTCTCCCCAGGCTTCTAGAAAGCCTCTGCAGCCTGGCAAAGGCAAAAAACCATGGCAAAAAAGGGGGGTCGCTGATTGTGTGCATGAGCTGGGAGGGTTTCCATGCATAGCATTATGGGTGTAGTACGCCAGCGCACAACTCCCCTGTGCTCTCCCCACTTTTGGCACAGCAGCCAAAAAAGGTTTGCCATCACTGGACTAGGTGAACTTTTTTATTTGGAGAAGATATCATTCATCTCAATTACAAAGTACCATATTTTTGGAGTATAAAATGCACCTTCCCCCACTAAAAGAGGGTGAAAATTTGGGTACATCTTATAAACTGAATGTAGCCACACTCACCCACCGGCCCCCACCCTTTGGCCTCTGCCTCCCAACAATTTACCTCCTTGCAGCAAATGGGGAAAATAGGGCTTGCAGAGGTGGCAATAGTCTATGGCAATAGTCTATGGCAGTGATGGCTAACCTTTTTTGGATTGCGTGCCAAAAGTGGGGGGAGCGCAGGGAGGGTCGTGCACGGTCGTGGCCATGCCCACACCCATAATGTTATGCGTGTGATGCAACATCATTATTAGACTTATTTTCTAAAGACTGCTTTATTATTGTTCTAGACAACTTAACAAAATGAAGAAGCTTTAAATAGCAGAGAATAACATATACTTCCAGAAAGTCACATCAATTTTAACAGCTTCTGTACAAGTATAGTCTGAAATGTAACAGTGTCCTGTTGTCTAATTAAACCCTGACTTAATCTTGTTTGGAGTAGAGCTATTTAAATAATTGAGGGAAGTTAGTGTGACTACATTTAAGAAAACTTTCTGCCATTAATATATACTGCCATAATGTACATTTCTCCAATTCTTTGGTATTTCTATGGGTCAGGCACATATGCATTAAAAAACCACCATAAACAGTGTATATTATCTGTACTGTTTTACTGTTTGTTGCAAGAGGCAAATTGCTGGGAGGTAGAGCGTCTTATACTCCAAAAAATATGGTAATTCTTTTACAAAGTAAAGAAAAACCAATTGCATCAGACAGAAAAGATAATGATTCACTGAGATAAGGAGAACATTTGCAACATTTTTAGGTATTTGTGCAGACATTATATTGGGGAGGAACTATATTTGACCAAATTGTATTGCATTTTCCATTTTAAATACTATAGAAAGTTTACTGAAAGAAAATGGATTGGACTCAATTTGTTTCTATATCAATCTTTGTTATTCTTCTGACTATATTCCTTTTGAAAATGAATTCCAGTTCCTGGAATAACAACTCCAAAAATCTTCCGCCAGCACCAAGAATTTTACCTTTGCTTGGAAATCTCCTTATTATGGATATGAAAAGACCACACAGAACAATGCTGAAGGTAATGATTGAAAGAAATTAAACCAACAAGGCAAAATTGGATCAAGAGATTTTGGAGATATTCTGATTTTTTGTTATTGTTTAATAGTGATTGTAACTTGCTATAGTATGCATAGAATTACAAGATCTTGGCAAACTTATATTCATTTTGTGGACATAATCCTATCAATGAACAGATAAATTGAGAGAGGTTTTTGGTTGTTTTTTTTTAGCGGGGTGGGTGGGATTAATATCTTTTTCTAAAGTTAATGAATTGCAAGAGGTGGTAGAATAAGATGGTCTTACACAATGGTCCCTCTAATTTTTTTTCAGTGTGGGTGGAAAAGTATAGTGTTTGAGCGGCACATTTTCATGCCTGAGCACCTGAATTTTTTTCACAGATGTCACCCAAGACAACAACGAAATAGTGTTATATCAAGTCAAACTAAT